GATGGGATGGGATGGGATGGGATGGGATGGGATGGGATGGGATGGGATGGGATGGGATGGGATGGGATGGATGGGATTTCATCCCTTCCTGGATGGGATGGGATGGGATGGGATGGGATGGGATGGGATGGGATGGGATGGGATGGGATGGGATGGGATGGGATGGGATGGGATGGGATGGGATGGGATGGGATGGGATGGGATGGGATGGGATGGGATGGGATGGGATGGGATAGGATGGGATGGGATGGCAGCTTAGCAGGAGGGCTCAGCAGCAAGAAATGCTCCTTTTGCAGTGGCTCTTTTGGGTTGGATGTGCCATTTGGTGTGGGAATGCACCCAGGAATGCAGATGGGTGGGACTGACTGGGATGGAGGATTTTTAATCTTAATCTCAGCCCATCGAGCTGCTCCACATCTACATTTGTTGCTCCACATCACAGATAAGGGGTGAAGATTTTGGTGAAGATCCCTCAGGATTTGACATCCTTATTCTCTGGTATTTGGGCATCCTCATTCCCCAAAATTCCCCAGTATTCGGGAATTCTTATTTCCCAGGTATCTGGGAATAATTTTTTTCTTTATATGGGCATCCTTATTCCTCAGTCTTTGGGTATCCTGAATTCCCCAGGATTTGGGTGTCCATGTTCCCCAGTATTTGGACATCCCAATTCCTCAGTATCTGGGCATTTTATTTTCCAGTATTTAGTCATCCTTATTCCCTGGTATTTGGGCATCCTTATCCTTCAGTATTTAAACATTCTTATTCTTCAAAATTTGGACATCCTTGTTCCCAATTATTTGGGCATCCTTATTTCCCAATTATCTGGGAATCCACATTTCCCTCTGTTTTACCTTTCTTTTCCCTCACTATCTGGGCATTCTTATTCCCTGATGTTTGGGCAGCCCTGAATTCTCCAATATTTGGGCATTGTTTGGGAAATTTTTGGGAAAGCTGGAGTGGGCAGACCAAGAGCTGGCACAGCTGCACCAGGGATCAGGAATGTGCCTCGATGTTTGCCCACCTAAATCCCAATTTTTGGTGCATGTTCCCCTCCATCAGAGCTCAGCTCCTGGCCTTAGGCAGCAAAATCCTTTTGGATTTTTAATTATTATTTATATTTGTTATATTTTTATATTAAATAGATTATATTTTATATTTTTCTATTTTATATTATAATATTTATATTATCTATAATATTTATATTATCTATACATCTATAAATATGTTTATTTTAAAATATTTATATAAATTATATAGCTATCGAATATATAAATATAATATTATAATAAATATAATAAAATAAAATTTATTATATTACATAATAAATATATAATATAATAAATGTGATTAAAATATATTTATTTTTATTTTATATATACTTTTATTTTTATAGAAATATTTTTTAATTTATAATTTTGTATTTTATAATTTCCTTTTAAAATTTTATATTTATATTTAATTTTAAATTTTGTCTTAATTTATTTTTATTTTTATTTTTATTTTTATTTTTATTTTTATTTTTATTTTTATTTTTATTTTTATTTTTATTTTTATTTTTATTTTTATTTTTTCAATTTCCTGGCCTTCCCATTATCACAGGGCTGCTCTCTCACCCACTCCTGTTATGCTGAACTTTGCCTGCAATGAAAGGAGTTTTATGGCACTCCCAAGGGAATTCAGGCAGTGCCTTATTTCCCTCACTTAATGGCACCTGTGTGCCTGGATAATGGGATTCCTGCCTTGGAGCCCACAGGTTAATGAGCCCTTCCTCGTTATTTTCATGCTAATGATGTTTTACAGGGCCAGGACATGGATAGTGTCTCTTTTGGGCTCTGTGCTGTAATTACAGCTGGGGATCTTGCCAGCTTGTTTTGATATTTGTCTGTTGTGCAGAGTGGGTTATTTGTTACAAATCCAAGGGTTGGGTTTGTTCAAAAGGGTGCAAAAAGCTGGAGAGAGACTTTGGACAAGGGATGGAGGGACAGGAACCAGGGAATGGCTCCCACTGCCAGAGGGAAGGGATGGGTGGGAGATTGGGAATTGGGAATTGCCAGAGCAGCTGTGGCTGCCCCTGGATCCCTGGAGGTGCCCAAGGCCAGCTTGGCACCCTGGGACAGTGGAAGGTGTCCCTGCCATGGCAGGGGTGGGCTGAGATGCCAGGGCCTGCCACCCTCCCAGGGAGGAATTTCTTTAGGTCATCAATGACACAATGGGTGGATGAACTGCAGATAATTCACCTCCACGGTGTCCAACTCTCATGTGGTGATTGTTTAGTAATTAAATATAATTACTGTTTAATCATAAGAATAATCATGAGGAACTGTGGTCAGGGACCTAAGAAAGATCACGAGAAACTCATGTCAATGTATACAATAGAACAATATAAGTTTAATAATTAATATGTGAGTTATATAAGGATAGAATATAAAATATGTTCAGCTCAAAAGCCGTGTTGGAGTCAGATTTGGGTTTGTACCCCTGACTCCCAGAGCTCTCAATAAAAGCACCTGCATGGAATCATATCCTGTGCCTATGTGTGCTCCTGAACACTGACACCAACAGCTCAACTCAACCCTGGCACCCAGTGCCACATCCAGGCTTTGTTAAACACACCCAGGGATGGTGACTCCACCACCTCCCCGGGCAGAACATTCCAGAGCTTTATCACTCTTCTGTAAAAAACTTTTTCCTGCTATCCAACCTCTATTTCCCTTGGCACATCTTGAGACTTTGTATGAAAGGGCACAACATGGAATTCTTTAGGTTGGAAAAGCCCTCTAAGATCAAGCTCCCAGCATGGCCAATCCCACCACTAACCCGTGTCCCCAAGTGCCACATCCACACATTTTTGGAGCCCTTCCAAGGATGACATTTGCTGCCTTAGGAAAGTCTCTGTGGCACCCAACCCAGTCTTGGTTGAACCTGCTGCTTTCCCAGCTGCTGTGCCAGAACCACGGCACTTTCCACAGTGTGGGAAATAGTAAAGGTAAGAAGATTTTTAGAAAGTTGGGAGAGTAGGTTTCAGAAACAGGAAGAATAGAGAAATTAAAATTAGTTGTAGTTTTAAAGTTTGAAGGTAGGAAAAAGTTACAATGGTATAGTAAATAGTAAATAAAGTAAATAAGGACATGAAACAATCGCTTGAGTTTCAGGTTTGGTTAAGACAGACTTTAAGACTGTAGAAAAATGGGTTTAGTAGACGGTTTTAAGCTTAAAAATGGTGTATTATATAAGTAAGTATTGTGTGAAGTATGTGTACCTTTAGTGATTGGTTAGAACAATAGTAAGCTTTAGCAATATGCTGTTGGCTGGAAAGTTTTTAAAATGTTCTGTACCAAAGAAGTCTTTGGCAGCTGCTGGTAGGACGTGAGCTGTTGCTATCTTTCTATTGTCTCAACTGTGTAATGCTGAGACAATGAGGCTGATGCTGTAACAAAATTCCAAGGAAAGTCTCTCAGAAATCTCGTTCTGTTTGTGAAAGAGAAAAAACTTCCCCAACACAAATGGTGCCTCGTGAAGCAAAAAATTCACTTCAGAATCCTTCGTAGACCATTCAGCCATCAGTGTCAGGAACCCCAGATTAAGAAAATTGAAAGAAGAGTGGAATGGAAAGAGGGCTGTGCTCTGCTGCTCAAACCCTTCTCCAGGCACCAAAAAAAGAGGGGAGAGATGAGATGAAATGAGATAAACCCCCATGGAAACAATGCACGGGTGAGCTGAACCTCCAGCCAGGAGCTGGGGCTGCCCCGGGGAGCTGGGCTGGAGCATTTTGGCAGCATTGCCCAGGAGATGCTCTGAGGGGCAATGCTGGGCTCCAGGATGGAGACGAGAGATCTCTGAAGCTGCTCTTAGAATATCTGGTTTATTATAGATGGTAAAAGGTCTTGCTTGGAGCTGCCAGATGCAGCACGTGGCAAGGCCTGAGGTGTTGGAATCTGAGGTATTGATGATTCTGAGATTGTAAAAGTCTCTGTCTTTCTGCCCCACTGCCAAAGCAGAAGCCATAATTGGTCTGTGCTGTTTCAAGGTTGTTTATTCTGTTTATCTCTAACATGTTCTGCTGCCCTGCCGCAGCTCTGTCCTGCAGGGCAGCGTGTGGGGCTCTGCCCTCAGTGGGATGGTACAAACATTAAATACCACAAACTACCTGTGCTGGATTTACAATAACGTGCCAATATCTGTCACCTACGTTGGACAGTGTGTCCCCAGCCTAAACCAACAGAAAAATGCCAACACCACAGTGAAACATGGAGGGCATGAAGAAGGAGAAAAAGGACAAGGCACACCCAATTTCCTCCATCTTGTCCCCTTTGGACCCCTAATCTAGAATCCTAAAATTTTACTTTTGCACCCGTGCCACACTTAATTATTACTTCTATCAAACACTCAGAGCTTGTAATTGATCCTGTAAGATTGAAAACTCTTTTCCATGGACAGAGATCACAGCCAGTGTCTCTGGGGGCTCTGTCCAGGGGGTTCCTGACCCCTGCCAGGGTCCCAGGGCAGCCAGAGGGAAGCTCTGGATTCCCACATGAGGGAGTGGGGGACGGGAGAGACAAGGGATAGAGAGGATGCTCCAGGAGAGGGTGGAAGGTCCAAGGGGGTGGGGGTTCCAAGAGAGCATCTGGCCCCTCAGAGACCCCTTATCAGGGGGCTTTCAAGGTGGGCTGGAACAAGACTTGGGCCAATGGGGTCACAGGCAATTATATTTATCCATCCTTCCCAACAATGCTCCTTCCAGCCCAGCACGAGCTCTGTGCACCAGACTGTTCAAGCCATGCCCTGTGCACCTTCCAGCCACTGACTGGAACCTCTTCCTGTGCTGAAAACCTCATGAATGCAAGCAAGAAATGTCACTGGGGGCTGGGCTGGCACAGCACAGGGCGGGGGGACACAGGAAGGAACCTGGGGATGTGGCACCCGGCGTCTCAAGGTCCCTGCTGCCATAAGCGATGGTCCCATGGAGCTGAGTTTAATTTTCTCTTCTCTTTCTTTAGAGGCAGTGAAGGGCCAAGAGGAGCAGAGCTTCCCTTAGAGGCACAGAGCAGCGCAGAGATCGGCTTCTGGTAAAAACCTGCCCCTCCTCGTGCTCCCCTCCTCATCCTCACACCTGGCTGGCCCTGGCAGGACTCCTTCTCCAAGCACAGGCTGATTCCATCTGTAAATCCCATAGATTTATGTGGGATCCCATATAAATCCCATAAAATCCCAGAACAGAATAGAATAGAATAGAATAGAATAGAATAGAATAGAATAGAATAGAATAGAATAGAATAGATATGTTACAGAATAGAATAGAATAGAATAGAATAGAATAGAATATATGTTTAATAGAATAGATATGTTACATAATATAATGTAATGTAATATAATGTAATGTAATGTAATATAATATAATATAATATAATATAATATAATATAATATAATATAATATAATATAATATAAATGTAATATAATATGGATGTAATATCTAATAATACATACTAATATATATTATTCTGTTATCTATTATATATTATATCAGGTTTACAATATTAAATATACTCAATTATAATATAGAATACATATAGTATAATATAATATATAATATATAATATATAATATATAATATATAATATATAATATATAATATATAATATATAATATATAATATATAATATATAATATATAATATACAGTATTTAATATTTAATATACAATATTAAATATTTGATATTTAATATACAATATTTAATATTTAATATGGAATATTATATATAATACTTGATATATAATATATAATATGGAATGCGGATTGTGGAATATGGAATATGAATATCAAATATATTTAGATATATGTGTATATATAATATAGTATATATAGTATAATTATAATATAGAATATAGAATATAGTATATAGAATATGGAATATATAATATATATTTATATATGTATATATTTTTAATGTGTATATATATACATATATAGTGTATATATATATATATATACATACATATATAAAGTCCCATGAAAACCCCATTTTGAGCTGGTAAGCAGCCCCGGTCAGGCAGGAGCACTGCTGGAAAAGCCTTGCTGCTGCAGGAGCTGGGTGCTGGGATTCTGCTGCTCTGCCAGAGCTCACTGCTGGTAGAAGGTGCTGGAAAAACATCCGGGATCCAGCCTGGAGTGACCTTAATGAGCATCCCCCGCCTGCCTGGGGTAGAAATCCCCAGAAACAGGAAGCTCCAGCATCCTGTTTAGCATCTCAAAGTGCAATTTGGCAGCAGGGACAAAGGCAGGGAGGCCAAGGGACGCTGGACACACACTGGGCACCAGCAGGGGCTGGAGGATGGGCAGGGAATGAGTCTGGCACAGAAATCCTGGGGTTTGTTGCTGTCACAGGCTTTCAGGGAACAGCAAACACCAAAGCACAGCTCAGCTTTAGGCTGCAGCCTGAGCTCTGGACAGTCCCAGTGCCACCTAAGTGGCATCCCTGCTCTGGGGACAACCCTGGCACGGTGTCCCTGCCCTGGGTTGGCATCTCCCACCCTCACCCTGTCATTTTGATGGCTCTGCCACTCCACACGTGCCACCCCAGCCCATCCTCGGGGGGCTGGGAGCAGCCCAGCAGCTGATCCCGGTGTGTTCCTGCCCACAGCCCATCCCAGGAACCCTCCTGGCCTGCCCATGGCTAGCAACAACACTGCTAGCATAGCACAGGCACGCAAGCTGGTGGAGCAGCTGAAGATGGAGGCCAACATCGACAGGATAAAGGTAGGGATTCTTGGGAGATGCCTTTGGGAGTGCTGGGAGGTGGTGGCTGCTGCCCAAAGCACGTGGAGGGAGCTGGGGTGTGGAGCCAGGTGGAGATGCTCTTGTTTTAAGTGATGCTGACAGCCCTGGTTGAAGGCAGTGAGAGATGGGATCGTAGAATCTGGGAATGGTTTGGGTTGGAGGAGACCTTAAAGCCCTTTTTGTTCCAACCCCCTGCTAGGGACACCTTCCACTGTCCCAGGTTGCTCCAAGCCCTGTCCAGCCTGGCCTTGGGCACTGCCAGGGGTGAGAGGCAGCTGGAAGCATCACCTGGAGCCCTGTGGGGTGGTGGGAAGGAGGGACTGTCCATCCCCAGGGCATCTCAGCTCCTTACTAAGGGCTGAAATCCAGGGAGAGAAGTGCTGCAGGGCTGGGGGATGAGCTCTGGTGGCTTGGGAGGTGAAATCCAGGGAGAGAAGTGCTGCAGGGCTGGGGGATGAACTCTGGTGGTTTGGGAGGTGAAATCCAGGGAGAGAAGTGCTGCAGGGCTGGGGGATGAGCTCTGGTGGCTTGGGAGGTGAAATCCATGGAGAGAAGTGCTGCAGGGCTGGGGGATGAACTCTGGTGGCTTGGGAGGTGAAATCCAGGGAGAGAAGTGCTGCAGGGCTGGGGGATGAGCTCTGGTGGCTTTGGGAGCTGCTGCCATGTCTGGAATAAGGAGCGAGGCTGGTGGGTGAGGGCAGGAAACGCTGCTGTGGATGTTCCTGCCAAGGGATGCGTGGGAGAGGCAGCAGGGATGCTGAAGTCAGTCCCTGTCAGGTGAAAGCTGGGAATGGGGGAAGGCTGGGAAGGAATGGGAATACAGGCTGGCAGAGCAGCCCAGAACCAGCCCAAAACCAGCCCAGAACCAGCCCAGAACCAGCCCCAGCAGGGACGTGCTGCCGCTCTGTCAGTCAGGTTTTCATCTCAGACCTGATGCTGCCAGCCCTTCCCTGCTGGTGGCACCTCTCCAGATGGGATGTCCCCATCCTGTCCCTAACACAGGGCTCCTCCTTTTGCTCCTCCTCCTTTTGCAGGTGTCCAAAGCAGCAGCAGACCTGATGGCGTACTGCGAAGCCCACGCCAAGGAGGACCCTCTATTGACCCCCGTCCCAGCCTCAGAAAACCCCTTCAGAGAGAAGAAGTTCTTCTGCGTGATCCTGTAAACCCTGGAGGAGCCTGACGGGCACTCAGGCCACCCTGAACACTGATGTAGAGTTTTTAGGAATGGGGACGACCTGCTGGTCCGCAGAATTTAAACAAAAATAAGTAAAAAAACACGGCCTGGAAGCTACAGAGATGTGCATGTTTAAAGAACCTGGCCACCTTTGGGGGAATCAGATGATCTGCATTGCGAGGCAAAAGATCTGAAGTCTGTAGAGTTGCCTAGAAAGAGAAAAACAAACAAACAAACAAACAAAAAATCATGTAAAGAATAAATCAGTGTCACTTTTCTGCTCACAAAATTGTTCGATTGTTCCGTATTTAAAGCACCAGAGCTGTGCTGAGCAAAGTTAGCTGCTAAGGATGTGTATAACCTTCTTGGAATGATATTGTTGGTTTCTTTCCAAGCTAATATTTTTGATTTAAGTTGTCAGATATATAGCGACAGGTTAGGTGGCTGTGCTGTTACTCAATGTTTGGTCTTGTGCTTTTTTCATTTCTGGCCGTAGCGTGGCAGGGCGGGTCGAGGGGACACCAGCAGCTCTGTGTCCCCAGCAAACCCCACTTTTTCCCATTCTCTCTATGGTTAGCTTTGGTTCTGCAAGTAAAAGTGGTTCCCGTGTCGTGCTTGGTGCTTCCTAGGCCTGTGATGACATTCAGTGGTAGTGCATGAGAGTTTAATTCCGTTCATCCGCTCCTGACTTTTCTTTTCTAGCGCTTGGCACCACGTGCTGGTGGAAGAAGCCGTAGGGAGGGAACAGAGGCGATTCTGAGAGCAAAGAGAGCTCCTGAGATGCCTTAGACGTGCCTGAGATACCTCCTGCCACGGGGCAGGTGCCAGCCCGGGTGCAGGGCGAGCCAGAAATCCGAAAATCAAAGTCGACCGCTTCTTTCCGGGTCTTTCCTTTCTCCTACACCTCCGTGCCTCTGCTCTCCTCGCTTGGTCCTGCTCTTTCCCAGTTCTGGTAGCACTTCCTTCCCTTGGGGCTGGTCTGGAATGCTGCTGGGATGTTGTTCAGGGCTGGGATGCTGCTCCATGGTGGGACACAGCTCCATGGTGGGATGCTGCTCCTCCATGGGATGCTGCTCCTTGGTGGGATAGAGCTCCATGGTGGGATAGAGCCTCATGGGGGGCTGCTGCTCCTCCATGGAATACTGCTCCTCCATGGAATACTGCTTCTCCATGGAATGCTGCTCCATGGTGGGATACAGCTCCATGGTGGGATGCTGCTTCAGGGTGGGGTTCTGGTCCATGGTGGGATGCTGCTCCTCCATGGAATGCTTCTCCATGGTTGGACACAGCTCCATGGTGGGACACTGCTCCTCCATGGAATCCTGCTCCTCCATGGAATGCTGCTCCATGGTGGGATGCTGCTCCAAAATGGAATGCTACTCCAAAATGGGATGCTGTTCCATGGTGGTATACAGCTCCATGGTGGGATGCTGCTCTTCCATGGAATCCTGCTCCTCCATGGAATCCTGCTCCTCCATGGAATGCTGCTCCATGGTTGGACACAGCTCCATGGTGGGACACTGCTCCTCCATGGAATCCTGCTCCTCCATGGAATGCTGCTCCTCCATGGAATGCTGCTTCATGGTGGGACACAGCTCCATGGTGGGATGCTACTCCAAAATGGAATGCTACTCCAAAATGGAATGCTGCTCCATGGTGGGACACAGCTCCATGGTGGGATGCTGCTCTTCCATGGGATCCTGCTCCTCCATGGAATGCTGCTCCTCCATGGAATGCTGCTCCTCCATGGAATGCTGCTCCATGGTGGGATACAGCTCCATGGTGGGATGCTGCTTCAGGGTGGGTTCTGCTCCATGGTGGGATGCTGCTTCTCCATGGAATGCTGCTCCATGGTAGGACACAGCTCCATGGTGGGACACTGCTTCTCCATGGAATGCTGCTCCTCCATGGAATGCTGCTCCTCCATGGGATGCTGCTCCTCCATGGAATGCTGCTCTTCCATGGAATGTTGCTCCATGGTGGGACACAGCCCCATGGTGGGACGCTACTCCAAAATGGGATGCTGCTCCATGGTGGGATGCTGCTCCTCTGTGGGATTCTGTCCCACCATGGGATTCTGCTCTCTGTTGGGATGTTCCTGCCCCTTCCTGCCCCTCTCCCTCCCGTTCCCGCTGCCCCCTCCCCACGTTGGGAAGGGCCAGGGGAGCAGCCCCGGGAGCCGTGGGGCCGCCCCATCCCGGAGGTGCCTGATTCCCTGTTTACACACGGCCTGGGCTCCGTGCCAGGCTGGGCAGTTATTCCCAGGTCTCCTTCCCATGCTCCCAGCTCTTGGGGGACACACACCACCTTTCTGGGCTCCTCCTCCAGTCCGTATTTTTGTGGTTTGTCTCTCCTTTCTGCTGCTAAACACCTCCTGGCTCTCCCCTGCTCATCTATCCTCCTGGGAAACTTTGGGAATCATCACTTTGGGATCCATCCCTTTGGGAATCATAACGTGGGGATTTATGTACAGAATGAGCTGGGGGTCACAAAGGGGTTTGGGGGTCGGTGGTGACCCCACTGAACCAGTTCTGAATCAGGTGTGAGCTTTTGAAAATCCCCGTGGATCCGGGAGGGGAAAAGTCTTTCGGTACCTTTTTGGTAACTCTTTCTAGCCCGTAAAAAAAAAAGTGTTTTTTGGTTTTTCTACCTTTTCATACTCTTTTTCTAGTTCTTCTACGGAGAAGGCCAGTTCTTCTCACACTGGACTCCAAACTTTTGGCACCTGGGAATGTTTATAAGCCACGAGTAGCCTAGATGGTCCCAGCACCCCCCTAATTCCCCAATTTTGCTCTTTTTACTACAGCTCCCCTAGCTTTAGGATGAAGGGTGGATGAAGTGGTTTGCTCTGCAGCTGGTTTCACTCTTGGTGTTACCAGGCAGAGATGTAAAAACCCCATCCTGAGTTTTGTCTTTTCTTCTTAATCTGATTTATTGTCACAGAGAGTGAAGTGCAGCCGGTCTGACCCGGGGCTCCCACCCCACCCCTTCTCAAACACCTTCACAAAAGTGGTTTGTAATAATTTTTTTAACGACTTGCCTATTTTACAACTCGAATTCTTAAAACCTTAGACAACAAAATAAACCTGCATGAATATGGGGGAGCGGGGAGGGGGAGATTTTTGAACTAACCCAGACTATTCATTGAAGGTGTTTTATCTTGCTGGGCTTGATTTTCTGTTGGTTGTGGTGTTGCCATTGGTGTGCTGCCAGGTATTTCACCCCAGTATTTCTATTTACACAGATCTGCCTTTGTTAGCCAAGCAGAGATCGCCTGCCAAGGTTGTTTCCCCTCCTCACAACAAAAATCTCACCCATCCCTCCATCCCCATGCTGGATTTCCAGCCTGGCCTCAAACGTCATTCAACTACCCCCAGGCTTTTAAACAAAAAAAATAAATCTGGAGTACTGGAAAAAAGGACTTTTTTTGTCTGCAAAAGTTGCTGGTGGCAGTCTGTCCATGGCCTGCCACCCTGCCAGCAGCAGGATTTTGGGGAGGGGGTGGTTGTAGGCGAAAGCCAGTCGTGGTGTAGCGCATCCCCATCCCACATGGTCTGTGTACTCGTTGGAAATAAACTTTTGGATTTGTTTCAAGCCTTTTGGAGGTGCTGCTCTGTGTGTGTCGACCCCTGGGGAGGTGGGATCCCGTCCTGGTTGTGGCTGGATGCAGTTCCCAAGGGGTTCTCCCCATCAGGAGTTTTGGGGCTGGGCTTTCAGCAGCTTTTACAGCAGCTCAGGGGAGAACAGGCTGGTTCAGGGTGGGACATGGCTCCTTGCTCACACCTAAAATTCCCTAAATTTCTTTGTCCATCCCTTTTCCCCTCTTTTTCCTTTTTCTCCCAGCCCTGGCACTCAGCACAGGAGCAAATCCAGAGGAGGTCATGGAGCTGCTCCAGGGGCTGGAGAATGCTCTGGGAGAGCTGGGGGTGTTCACCTGGAGAAGGGAAGGCTCCAGGGAAACCTCAGAGCCCCTTCCAGGGCCTGAAGGAACCTTCTAAAGAAGGAGAGATTTTTATAGGGCCTGGAGTGACAGCAAAAAGGGTTTTAATCTAAAAGAGAGTTGATTCAGGCTCAGATATAAGGAAGAATATTTTTAATGGGAGGGTGGGCAGGGTGCCCAGAGAAGCTGTGGCTGCCCCTGGATCCCTGGAAGTGCCTAAGACCAGGTTGGACAGGGTTTGGAGCAGCCTGCGATGGTGGAAGGTGTCCCTGTGAATGACATGGGGTCAAAATTGATGTTTTTTAAGGTCCTTTCCAACCCAAACCATTCCAGGGTTCTGTGATTCCATGATTCTTCCTTGTTCTACTACCAAAACGCTTCCTGATCACAGAATCAAACATATTGTGCTCCTACCAAATTCCCCACATCCTGAATGTCCCCTCCAGTTTCACAGGACCCTCAGGGGTGTGTTTTCCCAGCAAAGCTGCTGGACACTTTTGCTGGCCACATTTTAAAGCTGCTTGGCCTCAGCTCATCCCTACGGAACCAGGTGTCACCATAGGTTCTGAAATAAAACCCCCAGCACCTAGCCCAGCAGGGATCTGTGCTGATATTCCAGTTTTTCCATCATCAAGATCAACTCCCAGCCCCTCCATCCTTTTCTGTGTCTGTCAGAGCAGCTCCAAAGCAAAATGGTGTTGCTGGGGAGGAAGTGATGTATTAAAAAAATATGGATATTGATCTAGTATCGATATCCAACTGTGACGGACAAAAACTCTCTAAGAGTTTAAAGTTAGAAAGTGTGTGTTTATTGTGTGTGGGATCGCTCCCAAATCCACACCGCACCTTCCAGGTGATTACAGAGTCTTTTTATCCATACAGGTATTGAATACCCAAAATACAAATACATATTCATCATTTTGGTACATCCCATTCCTGCTTTGTATGCTAATCACTCCAAAATCTATTCAGCATGAAGTTTGTTTCCTGAAATGGGTCGGTGTCCCTTCCGTGGGGAGGGGTCCCAAAATGAGGAAGTCAATGAAGTCTTCCTCGTTCTGACCTTTCTACCTTTTCAATGCAAATGTGACAAATGAACTCTTGGTAGAACTCCCATTTCTTGTCTTCAATTGGTTTCAGAACAGAGGAGGCCACAATTGTCTTATGTTCCTAAAAGCAATTTGTCAGTTTATATTCTTCATTATAAACCCAGCTAACTAAACATTGTGCTGACAAGCAATCAGTTATCAGTTAACTACTAACTCCTAACTTCATCAGGGCCTACTCATTTATTTTAATTAACTCTAGTAAGGCTTATTTCTAACTAAATTCTTTCAAATAAACTAAATTATTTCTAACTAAATTCCTTCAAATGTACATTTCAGAAGGATCCAAGTCTCTGCTCGCCTGGCAGGCAGCTCAGCTGTTCCCTGGCTCCTTTCCATCCTCACCTCCCCAGGATTCGGCTCTGGAGCAGCATCTGCCGAGCAGGAGGAGGTGAGGAGAGCGTGGGTGAGATGCTGCTCCCCCTGCCCGGCTCCTTAATGAGGATAAACCCATCTGCACTAATTGCATTCATTAGCTCATCTCCTGGACATGGATTTGTGGCCTGCAGGGAGCCACCAGGGAATGGTGGGGATGGAGGTAGGAAGGGTGGAGAGCAGAGGTTTCACTGCCTCCATCCTCCTCCTCCTGCTCCTCTGCTGTGTGCCAGGGTTGAGAGAAAAAGGAAAAAGACGGGGAAAGGGATGGACAGTGAAATTTAGGGAATTTTAGGTGTGAGCATGGAGCCATGTCCCACCCTGAACCAGCCTGTTCTCCCCTGAGCTGCTGTAAAAGCTGCTGAAAGCCCAGCCCCAAAACTCCTGATGGGGAGAACCCCTTGGGAAGTGCCTCCAGCCACAACCAGGCACGGTCAGGGTGTGACACCGTGGGCAAAACTCCTTTTCTCCACGCTGGAGTTGATGTTCCTGGCTCCAGCTGGGGGGTGGGAGAGATGCTCCCTCAGGAACTGCAGCCACAGGATAAGGGATAACGGGTTTTAGGGTGGAAATGTGGAATTTTTGGCTGGGAGGGTGATGGCACAGGTGCCCAGAGAAGCTGTGGCTGCTCCTGGATCTCTGGCAGTGCCCAAGGCAGGGCTGGCACGGAGGAAATGTCAGGATGAACATTGCAGCGCCTCGTCACGCGCTGTCACCGCCTGGTGCCTGCAAAGTGCCACCCCAGCCACACAGGGGGGACAGGGGGACAGAGGGACAGGGGCGGCCTCGTTCCCCCCACAGCTCATCCCTTCCCCAGGGAAAAAACTCCAGCTGGAGCCTTCCCAGTGCTGCCCAGTGCAGAGCTCAGGCTTCCCAGTACAGTGCGAGGCTCCCAGTATGCCCAACACAGCTCCCAGTGCTCCCAGTACCCCCAGCACAGCTCCCAGTACAGCTCCCAGTGCTCCCAGTACACCCAGTACAGCTCCCAGTGCTCCCAGTACCCCCAGCACAGCTCCCAGTGCTCCCCAGTACAGCTCCCAGTGCTCCCCAGTACCCTCAGTACAGCTCCCAGTGCTCCCAGTACAGCTCCCAGTACCCCCAGTATCCCCAGTACAGCTCCCAGTGCTCCCAGTACCCCCAGTACAGCTCCCAGTGCTCCCCAGTACTCCCAGTACAGCTCCCAGTTCTCCCAGTACACCCAGTACAGCTCCCAGTGCTCCCAGTACACCCAGCACAGCTCCCAGTACAGCTCCCAGTGCTCCCCAGTACCCCAGTACAGCTCCCAGTGCTCCCCAGCACAGCTCCCAGTGCTCCCAGTACCCCCAGTACAGCTCCCAGTACAGCTCCCAGTGCTCCCCAGTACCCCCAGTACAGCTCCCAGTACTCCCAGTACAGCTCCCAGTGCTCCCCAGTACCCCCAGTACAGCTCCCAGTGCTCCCCAGTACCCCCAGTACAGCTCCCAGTACTCCCAGTACAGCTCCCAGTGCTCCCCAGTATCCCCAGTAAAGCTCCCAGTACCCCCCAGTACAGCTCCCAGTACTCCCAGTACAGCTCCCAGTGCTCCCCAGTACCCCCAGCACAGCTCCCAGTACTCCCAGTACCCCCAGTACAGCTCCCAGTGCTCCCAGTACCCCCAGCACAGCTCCCAGTACAGCTCCCAGTACACCCAGCACAGCTCCCAGTGCTCCCAGTACCCCCAGCACAGCTCCCAGTACCCCCAGTACCCCCAGTACAGCTCCCAGTACCCCCAGTACCCCCAGTACAGCTCCCAGTGCTCCCCAGTACCCCCAGTACAGCTCCCAGCACAGCTCCTAGTGCTCCCCAGTGCTCCCAGTACAGCTCCCAGTGCTCCCCAGTGCCCCCCAGTTCCCCACTGGGCGGCCCCTCACAAAGCCCCGCCCCTCACTGTGACCCCGCCCCTCACAAAGCCCCGCCCCTCTCACTGACCACGCCCACCACAGGCCCCGCCCCCTCCGCCGCGTCCATACCCAAGGCAGCGCGGCCACTTCCCCTCCCGGCAGCCCTTTCCGCTCTCTGATTGGTCGAGGCGACCGCCGCTCAACGCTCTGGCCAATGAGTGAGCAGAACTCCGCGCGGGGGGCGGGCGTTCCCTTCCTTCCGGCCCGTGTGGGGCCGTCAGCGGGGCCTGAGTGGGGCCGGCACCGGGATCGGGATCGGGATCGGGATCGGGACCGGGACCGGTATCGGGATCGGGATCGGGATCGGGATCGGGATCGGGATCGGGATCCGGGATCGCGGCTGGCTCCGGGAGCGGGACCATGTTCCGCCGAAAGCTCTCGGCGCTCGACTACCACAACCCCGCCGGCTTCAACTGCAGGGGTGAGGGGCTGGGGGGGCTGGACCGGGTTTGGGTTTGGGATTGGGATTGGGATTGGGATGGGATGGAGTGGGATTGGGATGGGAATGGAATAGAATAGGATTGGAAGGGGATGGGCATGAAATTGGGATTGGATTGGAATGAGATGGGCATGAAATTGGGATTGGATTTGGATTGGGAAGGGATGGGGTTGGGATGAGGATTGGTTTGGGATTGGGATTAGAAGGGAATTGGGATTGGGACTGTGATTGGATTGGGATTGGAATGGGATTGGGATTGGAATTGGGATGGGATTGGGATGGAATTGGATTGGGATTCGGACTGGAATGACATTGGAATGGGATGGGGATGGGATGGAATTGGGTTTAGAATTGGAATAGGATAGGGGTGGGATTGGGATTGGGATGGGATGGAGTGGGATTGGGATGGGAATGGAATAGAATAGGATTGGAATGGGATGGGCATGAAAATTGGGATTGGATTGGAATGAGATGGGCATGGGATTGGGATTGGATTGGAATGGGATTGGATTTGGATTGTGAGGGGATGGGATTGGGATGAGGATTAGTTTGAGATTAGAAGGGAATTGGGATTGGGACTGTGATTGGATTGGAATTGGAATGGGATTGAGATTGGAATTGGAATGGGATTGGGATGGGATTGGATTGGGATTCGGACTGGAATGGGATTGGAATGGGATGGGGATGGGATGGAATTGGGTTTGGAATTGGAATAGGATAGGGTGGGATTGGGATTGGATTTGGATTGCAATGGAATAGGATGAGGATGGGATAGGGATGGGATTTGGATTGGGATGGGGATGGGATGGAATTG